TTCCTTCCTTCCTTCCTTCCTTCCTTCCTTCCTTCCTTCCTTCCTTCTTTCATTTTAGGTGAAGAACTTAAACAATTTACATAAAAGTATCTTATTATCCAAAGATTGAAGTTTATTTAATTTCAATAAAATTGATCATGGAATCAATTACACTGATAAATGGTGCAGTTTAGATGAACAATAAACTTATGTGAATACATATAACTTCAGTTGCATATACAGATACATATGTGTGTGTGTGGCAGTACAGACATCTTATTAAAGGCCGCATTTCAGATGCTTACAAAATATGACTTTGGATTAGCTAAGAATCAGAAATCTACAGCGGAATGAAGCTGCTATGTGAATCTCATTTTTAATGTTGGCATAGAGTGGGCGCATGTTCAGTTAATGCTTCTTTCTATATAATTTACTGTCTTGCTTGCTGCTATTTTTTTTATTATTTATATTGGCTTCATCTGTGAATAGTGTGATTTTTTTTTAACTTTTTTTTTTCTTTTCAAATTTGGTTTGCTGGTATTTTCTTACCTGTCCTTTGTCCTGCCTGCAGTGCTAATTGACTGCATTGACAATGGAGAGGCGCCACAGGCCGGGGGTGAGCTCACTGAATGAATCCTGTAATTGTGTGTTTCAGGACTATGCCGAGAAGGAGAACACTATCGCCAAGGCTCTGGAGGACCTGAAGGCAAACTTCTACTGTGCACTCTGTGACAAGCAGTATCACAAGCATCAGGAATTCGACAACCACATCAACTCCTACGACCACGCCCACAAGCAGGTACGAGAGAGAAGGCAAGATAACATCGTAAGCTTTTGTCATAGGCGGGATTGTGAAGACTATGTTACCATTTTCGTTATGTTTTGTTTTGTTTCCGATTTGCAGTTTTAAAGATGTGCTTCTGTGACGATGAGTCCAGTTTAGAAGAGCAAAAGCAACGGTTGAAACAAATGCCTAGCACTGAAAACAGTTCTGAACTCATGTCTCTTATTGTCCATGTTTGTTTTGAAAACAATAATCTACAGAAAATGATCTGATAAATGTTCTCGAATATATACATTACAAAAAATTTATTAAATACTGCAGATATTGAATATAAATAAGGTTTTACATTGCTTAACAATGAGTTACATGTGCTAGAAAATGTATTGGTCAGTTTTTAAATTTTATACATTTCTTTAGAGTGTGCGTGTATAAGCAAAAACATCTACAAGGTCAGGACATTAGTATAAAGTGAACTGTCATTGCTGCGTATGCCCTGTACAGCAGACAAAACTGTGGATGGGGCTAATTGCTGTGTTCTTTACAGAGCATTTCAGATTTAAACTGACTTGAAAAATACCATGACAAAATGCCTTAAGGTTATTAATTAAGTGTGTGCACAATGTTTACATGACTTAGTTCGTTTACTGGTATTCTCACACTAGTATCAGTTATAAATCCAGTACCCATTGTTTGATAAGCTTAGTAAAGATACAATTAAACTAGTGACTAAAAATTAAGTTAACATTTATTTTATTTTCTTTGCGTTTTTGTTTGATTGTTTGTTTTTGAGACAGGGTTTCTCTGTGTAGTAGCGCTGCTTGTCCTAGAAAGTGCTTTGTAGACCAGGGTAGCCTTGAACTCACAGAAATCAGGCTGCCTCTGCCTCCTGGGTGCTGGGATTAAAAGCATATGCCACCACGCCTACCTTTGATTTTATTTTCTAAAGGGCCTGATATTTACCATGACAATTTTATTTGCTGTTTATCTAATGATGGAATATCAGGTCTAGCATCAGTTTATATGTATTTTATTCGTCAAACATCACCCACAGATATCATTTAAATTTAATCCTTGTAAAAACAAAAGGAATATATTTGAAAGTATGAACTTGTACCTACTTTCCTTTAATATTGGGTTAAAATAGGATGAATTATCCAGCACAAACAGAAAAAAAAAAAAAACTAGGGGGAAATTATGTCATTAAGTGCTTATGAGACAATGATGTGCATTGTGTTTTACTGTCAATGTTCCAGTCTTTCATACTGACTAAAGTATATTCAGAAAAGCTGTGGTAGGAAAAAAGTCACCCTTCAATCACACACAAATAATAAGTGCATGCTTAGCTTAAGACTATGTCCTTGACTCATGTCTTCCCTCTAGAGTGTAGTAGATCTCAGATTGCACAAGCAAAGACGACAGTTTTGATAAAACAATTCCACTTCTTATATACAAATGATTCTACTTAATATATAAACGGCTTAGTTTGAACATTGTGATATGCAAGCCAATAGTATTAATTCGTGTTCTATTTATTTGGTATTTGTCCATAAAACAGAATGCATGGTCATGTTTTCCTATGTGACAGTGCTTTGATTATTCCCAGATATCTAACATTTTAACACATTATAAATCTCATTTTACAATAACGTTATTCTAAATCCATGGATGTGTATGCATTTTGACACTACTTATCACCTTTCTCAATAATTGCCAAATTCAACGATTAGCTTGTCTAGAAGTGCAAATTTATCTAGATAGGCCAAAGGAACTTTCAAATTCTCTGTTCTCGGTGAATTTAGCATACTATTTATTCTTTTTAAAATTATAGATCTTAATTAAAAACAAAACAAAACAACACCAATAAAACCTGAGGTAGGGTTGTCAGGATCATCAGGCTTCTCCCCACTAAAACATCCTCATGGGATTCAGAGAACTGCCTTGTCCTCAAACTTCAGTCAATTTTCTTAAGGAATGAAAAATAAAAGATGCAAACATCAATTAAAACTGTGTATATTAACCACAAAGCACACACACATGCCTCTGCATGTACAGACACACACACACCGCTGTGTGTACACACACACACACACACACTCGTTCTATTCACATAATCTAAGAGAAATCAAAATGGATATGGCTTACTCCTTAAAGACCCAGAGGTTGTGCGCTCCTCTCTGGGCTGGCAACTGAGGGCTACACTCTGGAAATCAATCCGGTGCTTCCTCAGACAACTAGGAGTAAGAAGAAAACAAGAAACAAGCTAGGAACCTGCCACAGAGGGCCTCTGAAAGGCTCTGCCCTGCAGACTATGGAGGCAGATCATGAGACTTATGGCCAACCTTTGGGCAGAGTGCAGAGAATCTTATGAAAGAAGTGGGAAATAGTAAGATCTGGAGAAGACAGGAACTCCACAAGGAGAGCAACAGAACCAAAAAAATCTGAGAACAAGGGTCTTTCCTGAGACTGATGCTTCAACCAAGTACCATGCATGGAGATAACCTAGAACCCCTGCACAGATGTAGCCCATGGCAGTTCAGTGTCCAAGTGGGTTCCATAGTAATGGGAACAGGGACTGTCTCTGACATGAACTGATTGACCTGCTCTTTGATCACCTCCCCCTGAGAGGGGAGCAGTCTTACCAGGCCACAGAGGAAGACAATGCAGTCACTCCTAATGAGACTTAATAGATTAGGATCAGAAGGAAGGAAAAGAAGACCTTCCCTATCAGTGGATTTGAGGAGGAGCATGCATGGAGAAGGAGGAGGAAGGGAGGAACTGGGAGGGGAGGAGGGAGGGAACTACAGGGGAGATACAAAGTGAATAAAGTGTAATTAATAAAAAAATGTAAAAAAAGACCAGAAGTACCCACTCGACCATGGTAAATTTGTTAAGGTTTTCTGATGGATCGATGACCATCCATCCCTGAAAGCTGCTAAACACCATAGTTACAGCTCACCAGTGTGGACTGAGCGCTAACATTTGTCATGATGAGATAATGATGTAATAGCCGAAAGCATTTAAATCCACATCACCACTATGTCACCTTGCCAGAAGACAAAGACACAACAGCGACAGTGTCTCCTTACACAGTGACCGCCATCTCTCGGCAAAGGTCACTCCCACAGGTGCTGTCAGCGGGTGAAGACAGCACAGATTGGAGGGGGAAAATTTATAATCTTGCTTTCTCTTCTAAGAACTTGACTTAGGGATACTATACAAAACATCTACTATCTGGAAATATCTAAATCTAATACTGAAAATATAGATCTTCACTCATAGTTAAGCCTGCTCAAGAACTAAGAAAGGTCACTTGCCAAAAGCACAAATAAAATGCAGAGCAGAAATCAGTTCAATGAGCTATCAGAACGTTAAAGTGTGAGGAATCCTGGTTTGAGAAGGAAATCGCTATTTGGGGAGATTCTATGATCTAAGCTTGCAGTCCCTTTGGCTCTCCTAGAACATTCTTCAACTCATGTAACACAGATAGTCTTAACATCATCCAAAAGCTCTGTAATCTTTATTTATTCCTAGTCATGTTCTCTCTTCATGTGCTGTCAAATAGTCTGGGTATGAACATGTTCTGATCAATCTAATATGTTTTTATGTCTTTAATTACCATTTTAAAAATTTTATTCAGTATGTTTTTTCAGCTCTAGAATTTCTATAATTTAAAAATTGTATCTATCCCTTGAGGTTTCTCTGTTAAAATTCATTTTTCCATTCCACTGAATTTCTTTAAAATCATTCTATTAATTATTTTTGAAAATTATTTTATACATGTTGCTCTCTCGTTGGCTGCTGATACAGTGTCTTTTCCTTTTGATGTGGTCATTATTTCCAAATGTTCTTTTTCTGGGTAGAGTGTGAAGTCATCTCAACATTGAAATATTTGTTTTTATTCTACTCTTTAAAACCCATTTTTCTTTGTGACTGACCCTCCAAAAATTCCAAGCACCCTGATTATTTTCTTTTAGCTTGACTACATCCCTATTTGGATACAGAATTGTTTCCTAAGTCCAAATTTTCAACAACTGTGCCATTCATCAGTTATTGCTAGTTCATTCTGGAAGACAATATAAGGTCAACATTACTCCAAGACAAAACTGAATATTATTCACTATGAACTTCAGGAAGTACCTACGAAGAGTAGTGTATCCCTATAGCCTACTTCCTGTGCTAAAGTTCTATAGCATTTTTTACTCAATTATTGGCCTGTGGTCAGAAGTACAGGATTGATTTCTTGATAGCACTTGGAAGATAGACCACGGAGAGACCTGCCCAGAGTCTGATGTCATATCTGCAGCTACTAGGTCCAAAGGGCCTATCAATCCATGGGGCTAGAGTTTCTGCAGCCCATTGCAAGAATGGGTCAGATGAAAGCCCATATATTTTAGGAGGCAAATTGGTGGGAAAAGTCAACGCACACGACCACTGCAAGAATTTGAATGAAACGGGGATGTTTTTTTTCCCACCAGCCAACCTCCCCAGACAAATTGTCCTTGAAGTTTCATCCTCAGGGAGATAACAGTCACTGAGATCTTTCAGTGTTACGTTTCACCAAGTAGCTCTGAGTACGAAGACAATGTTCTCTACCTACTAACCCTGTTTCCCTGTAAGATCAGCATTGCTCCACATTACAGGGTCCAAATGTAAGACACTTTTTGTGAAGAATTTTCTTTAATCTACAAGAATGATGCTAGAATATTCTGCCCTTGAGTCTCAGCACCAGAGATGTGCTGGCACATTACAGCTGGTGGGAGAGAGTCTAAATCCTCCTCACCACGATGAGTTCTTTGACTGTTGGAAGGACTAGTCATCAGGGTTCAATTGTAACCAACCCCCTGTGAGTAACTGTGCTACCTGAGACCAAGAGACAGTTGGTATAGATAGTACTTAAAGCAACAGGGCTGATGGGACCTAGTTCCCACGTACTTCTACAGAAGTCTAACCAAAGAGACCTGCTCTGCATTATGGAAAACAGTATGCTCCAGGCCAGTGCAAAGCTGGCAGTGACC